GCCAATATCGAGCATCCCTACTTGTAAGTATTGTAAACTCTTGTTCAGCACAGAACTTATTTTCTGCAATAATACAAAACCCCATTAGCTTTTTGTCAAGGGAACCAGTGCAGTGCTGACTTCCAGGTTGGACTACAGAAACATGTCATCCCTGCACTCTGTAGTGAGTAATTTATAGATTATAACAGACAAATAGACACAAATGACTTATCCATCATTCTTCTCCATCGCTGACAGCCACTCACCTAAATCTTCGAAAGCATCTTCCAGGTTAAAACCTGTATGAGGAAGACATGAGGAACACCATTAAAAATCAACACTGAAAATAAACCACAGCGATCAGTTTAGACTCCTCACTACAGTATTCTCCCCGCTTTCACCCACAGCTCTACAACCAGCAGCAAGACACTATTCTGTGTTTTTCCTTCGTAGCAGGAAGCACATGTGTTCTGTGTTTGGATGTTGCAGGGAGTTGTACAGTATATTTGCATGTTGCTATGGCAGCGCTGACTGGTACACTGCTTTGACGCATGAGTCACTACTGAAACTATCGAGTTGTTTCCCCACAGAAAAGCACGTGCCAAGTTCCAACATTTTGAAGTTTATCTCATGGTGGCGGGCTGTACGCAGGAAGACAGACACCAAAGAGCAAACCACTGCAGTTTTAAACAGTGACTGACTTTGCTGGTTTTCTCTGGAGAACAGTGTCATATTTGGCTCTATGATGACTAGAATATTTTTAAGCAACAAACATTTCAAGCTGTTTTTCTTGCTTCTATTTTAGTGTTGGTTCTGTAGGTTCTGTGAATGCTTATAGAGCATATAGATTGTGAAGGGAGATACTGGGACGGGGTTGTGAAGTTTGTTTCTGCTGATTTCATTCACAAGCTGTAAACACAACACTGCTATGTTATGTAAAAACTGTTAGCAAACAGTTGGCTATTTTAACACCCAGCTGACACTGAGCAACAATAGGATTCATTTGGAGTCGTGTTTGTGTTAGTGGTCGACCAACAGGGCCGATATTTACAGAGTAGGGCAGCCAATGGTCGATATATAATGCCGATATCAAACAAAGAAAGGTCATAATTCAATTATTCCATGCACATTACAATCTAATATACGGTTTTAGATGGGTATCTTAGCCAGTAACATTTTGTTTTAGATGGATTTTTTTATTGATGAGACTTTTTCTCATTTTCACATTCAACTTTCGGCTACTTTCGGGTAAAGGCACGATGATTTACAACAGTAGGTTAGGCAGGCTTTAACCAAGATACGTATTTAGTTAGCACTTTTTTGACAACACTAGTTATCTTATGGGAGAGCGAGCTCTGAGCGACTGCTTATTTAAGTGAACCTAACACCTCCACACAAACATTCAGAGACTGCTGTGACCCAGATGCTGCTGCTGCTGCCTCATGGGAAAAACTTTATCTGTCTTCTATCATAGCAGTAACATGTTTGAGAGGTCCAGCTATCCATTATTTTGAGGCCGCTGTTGTATGTGTTTTACTTACTTACTTGAAAATGAATGTGGATTGGGTACGTAAGGTTGTAATGTAATGTTGTGGCCCTAATATTCAGACCTATTTCATCAAGCTGTATTAGAATTAATTTGCGTGACAGACTTTTCAGACTGGATGATGTCATATATATCAAAAATGATCACTTCCTTCCCTCTAAGAAACCAGACCAAACACACTTCTCTATTTTGTGGCTTTCAGCATTCTCACTATGTTCCAGTTTCTGCTAAAATTTTACAAATATCTCTTCAAAACACCAGTTTAATCTAGTTCAACCAGACAGCGTGCCATCTACTTCTCATTTGCGTGCCTGTGGTTTTACTCTGCCAGCCCTCAGCCTCCTATACAGGAAGGAGGGTGCAGAGTATTGTAAAAAGAGTGTAACTGTAACTGTCGTATGGCCTTCTGTAAATCTGTTTGCATTTTTATTTTCACTCTGCTCGTTTCTTTCCTGATTGCTGTGGTTTAATATTTTCTTTCTTTGTCTTCATACCTTCATACTGAAACTGTCTGTTAGAGGAGTTATTCAATTTAAGCTGTTAATAACCCCTTTGCTATTTTGCCCATTTGATACATCCCCATCATATTCCACTATCTCATATCAGCTCATGATCTCTCTATTAAAATCTCTTTTCCACATGACCCAAACTTTCATTAATTTGTAAAATGTAAAAACACATCTTTTCCAGTCACACATCAACTACACATGATAAATTGTTTCCTTTATTTCTTCCACCCAAAATATTCCAGTTCACTCCAAATAAGAGAGAAATCTGAATTAAACAAGAAATCTGGTCTTTTGTTTTAACAACTGACCAAAAAGAACTCTAGCCAACAGTGAGGACACTAGAGCTGCGACTAATGGTTACTTTCATCATTTATTAATCTGTTTAATCTGATCATTTTCTCAATTCATCAACTACTTGTTTGGTCCAGGAATTGTAACCGGAAAAAGAAACCAGAAAATATTATACACACACACATTATTTCTGCAACAATTAGTCGATTGACTCATTAGCTGTCAACTAATACGTTAATTGCCAACTATTTTGATAATCGATTAATCATTTGAGTCATTTTTTAAGAAGAAATGTCCAAAGTTTCTGATTTTTGCTTCTCAAATTTGAATATTTTCTGGTTTCCTTAGTGACAGTAAACTTAATATCTTAATATTGTTGGGCTTTCGGAAACAGCCATCAACATTTTTCAGCATTTTCTGAAATTTTATGGATCAAACATGAAAATGATTGACAAACTAAACGATAATAAAAATCATTGATAGTTGCAGCCTGAGTCACATTTGAGAAGCTAAAATCCGCTAAAATTAAAGCTACAGCAGGTCACTTTTATAAGGATAACTTTTTGTCATATTTTCTAAAATTTTCACTGTGTCTTGACACTAGCACATGAGACAGATACTATGTGATCAGATGCCTCTGGTTCTTCCTAGTGCTTTTTAAATAATCAATCGGGCCCAAATGAAAACAACCAATCACAGCCAAGAAAGATAGAAAGACGCTGAGTTTTGCTGAGTCTCATTCCCAAAGTGTCTGTATTCCACGCCCTATGAATGGGACTCAATACTCAGCTATCTTTCTTGGTTCTGATTGGTTGTTTCTTTCATTCAGGCGGGTGAATTCTTGCAAATGCCATTAGGAGCACTAGCACGTGCCAGAGGAACCTGATTTTTTCACAGATTATTTGTCTCATGTACTACTGTCAGGATATAGTTAAAATATTCATTTTAATATATTTTATAAAAAGCACCTTCTGCAGCTTTAATTTATTTTTTGCAGCTCTAGAGTACACTGTGGACGTATAATCTGGATTTTTCCAGTTTAAGTTCTATAATTAAAAGCTTATATGTATATTTAAATATTTTACATGCTAAAAAAACTCAGATAAGTTGGTCAACCAATATAACCCTAGTCATCCTACACCGTGAACCACAGCCTGAATCTATTCTCTGTCCACAGCAGCCCCATGAATAAAGGCTTTACATTTAATTCCTGATTCACTGCTTCATTCAGTGAGTCTCAATTGAATACAGTGGGTTAACATTAAATGAGACGATGTTTTTCAGTCAAGGACACACCATGCAAGTAAATCAGATAGAGCTCATTATAATTTTATAATCTCCTCAATTCAGCTAACACATCCTTCCTCTTTCAGGCTGTGAAGAAGAGCTGAGGCGCCCACTGACCACATGATGGAAAATGCGACAGATTTACCCTGAATACTAATAACCGCTGATTTGTAGGAACAAAAGTTAAACTTTGCAGCTTCTGTGCGGCTAATATGAATGTCCTTGGTTAGGTAAGAGCCCTAAGGCTAGCTGCCAGAGAAACTTTGCACACTTTGAAGCCTTAAATTAGTCTTTCCTGCGTCACCTTAAAAGGCAAGACCACTAAAATACGTAACATAACCATAATGTAACCATTACACAACCTACAATTACTGATAATAATTCCCATAACATGCTTACCTAAGTCTTGTGTTAATGTTCCAGTCACGAGAAGAAGAAGTAAAACAATCCTTGAAAACATGGTGAATTTAACTTTTCTTACTACGCAGCGACTTCAATTTCGGGCTAATTTTAATGTTGTTAATCGTTAGCTACGCGTTCATATGCAGAGCTTTAGCTAGCTAGCGAAGTATTTGCGGCCACGGTCTTCTTCTTCCCCAGACTGCAGAGCAGAGCTCGGCCGGTGTCCTGTTACAGGCTGTTATGAGTCAACTTTGCCAGTGAACAACTCACTGGGTGGGGCAGCACCCTCACAGGGGCGTTACAAGCTTATACAAAATGAGTGTATCTATTATCTGATACGGATAGATAACTTTTGATTGAAGTAGAGCAATAAAATGCTGCCTTCAAGTCAAGCCGCGCCGAACTATATGTAAAATAAGTGCTATTTCAAGTGTTTCCAAAGCAAACATAAACTTTGGAAAAGTTTGCATAAAAACTAGGCTACTGCAATGTGATACTCCGTTTGGCAAACATTCGTCCTTTTGTTGCAGCTCTACTAAACTTTTATATCCCATTGTCATGTTTTTTTTTTTGTCCATAGACTTTACAGGAGCAAAACAGTATAGCAGAAAGCACTATGCAAAAGTACGGAGCCCCTAAAGTCCCAAAAGGTAAAATTTTTTTATCTTGTGGGCACAAAAGTTGAATTCTATTGAAATAAAGTGCTTCTTAATGGAACACTTGTAGTCGAGTTCATATTAGTTCATATTATATTAGTTATTAAATATGTCACATTTTAGTACTCATATTACTTTGGGCATTTGGCTTATGGTTCATGCATTTACTGATTTTAATAAAAATTTTAAAAGAAAATCCTCACAGGAAGAAAAATGAACCAAGGCAATATTAGAGTCTATTTCCCAGTATGGATATAAAAAATATAAATACATACATACAAAATGGCTATGCTAGAAAGGCAGGGAGGTGCAGAGAATGTTAGAGGGCCACTAGGTATGGTAGAAGTATACTACTTCAGTGATTTTGCCATTCCTCTGCATTGGTGCCATTTTCATGTTGTGACTTGTGAAATGAAACTTTTCCTGATGGATTTAGCATTTTTTGTAACAGAACTGAAAGTAATAGGACTGAGTTTTCAGCATGACATAGCCTACTTAACCACACCTTCGAGTGGTTTATCAAAACTGTATAAAAAATACAAGAAACATCTATTTTCTTCTTAAAGAATAATGTATTATACAGATATATTTCATTAATATTTATGCATGTAATGTATAGGGTTCCAAGCGTGATCCGAATGTTCAATTATGAAGAACATTTATTTTATTTAGTAGGACTCAGAGAGACAATAAGACAAGTGGTGTTGCCACAGCAGAAGTTGTTTCTCAACTGTTGTGTCTCTGTTTCATTACTTGATGATGATGATGAAATGTAGTTTAGTGGAAAACTAGAATGAAATGTGAGTGTCACATAGGCTGTTTTAGTGTAAATGAACATGAACAAGAGCAAATATTGACATAGATAGATGTAATAATGACAATAGTGCAATAGTCTAATCCTGATGTCCACACTCCTATTGGCCTCCACATTATGTAAAAAATAAATGAAAAGTTCATCCCGTGTGTGTTTGTGAATTTTTAAATAATTTATAAAGGCAGGAAATGGTAGGTGGGGCTCTGTGGCTATGGCATTGGAGCAGGCCTTCATAGCATCAAACAAATCTAATTATTGCATTACTTTTTTATTAAAATAGAAATGGCAACTTTTCAGACTTTTATTCGTGTTCATGCAATAATGAAACCACACTGAAATGTATGCATGAAGCAACATATGGGTAAAATCACTAAAGGCCTCAACCTATGGACTAAACCTTTGTTCACATGAAAGGAGGAGCTGTTGGCTCATGGGTGTGGGTTAGTTTGCCCAGCTGGCCCTGCATTAAGCCAACGGACTGTGCTGTAGCTTGTGTGCCACCTAGTGTTTCATCTTAATGCTTCTAATTTGGACCTCTGTTGATTTATACTATGCAGTCTTCTAAAGTCATTGTCATGGGTTATTCATTGATAATGACAGTGATAAAAAGGAGTTAAGGAGGAGTCCTGCCCAAAGCCTATCCAAAAGCAATTATTCATAACAATACACTAAAGAAAAGAAGAGCCATGACCAACAATTATTTAACTGTTCTCTCAAACATTGAGCTCTTGAGGGGCAGACTGAAGCTGTTTGAGGGGCAGGGGTGTTAAAAATAAAAAGGGCACGAGCACGCTGAAAGTTGTGATGCATTTATCGTGAAACAGCTTAGTCATGGTTAGGATTAAAACCCTAGTGGGCATTTGATCATGTTTTATAGAGGCATCCAAGGGGGTACTTTAGTGGCATTTTGAAAGTGGAGAGTTTCTCTGTACTCATTTAAAATCTGATTTTAAGGGGCTGGGCCTACAAGCATGATTTGTGACATCACAAATAGTTTGGAAGTCAATTTATACAAGTGTGATGTAGAAACTGGAAGCCACCAGTGCACATACACTGAGAATGGACTTCACAATGAAGTAGAAGACATCTTGTGTCCAGCAAAACTTTAGAAATGAACAAAATTTGCATATTCATAGATTCTGGAAGTTTTAATGAGGTAGAAGGAGTAGATTCTTTTAAAGGATTTAAATTTTAAAAATTACTACATTACACATTACAAACTTTTTTTGTGAGAAAAAACATATCAGACACACATTATTGCTCCAAAAAGATTATTATTATATATATGTCTTAATACATGTCTGGAGGGGATCTTTAAGATTCAAAAATTACATTTTGACATACAGCACTGCAGTGATCAATAATGTTATACAAATAAATGTACACGAACATTCACCATTCAAGATCATCTTTATTGATTCACCAATAATAAAATATGTAATAAAGCATATTTGAACAGTTTAAATCTTCCAGCAGTCATCATCACCCTGCCTTGATGTCTTTTTAAGCGTTATGCTTTTATTCTGCTTGGAGACAAACCTTTGGTATCATAAATTGTGCGTTTAAAATACAGGAGATTAATATATTTAAAGATATGATGAAAGATTGCTGACTATATATAAAGGACATCAGTATTTTTTATAAATGTTTGTTGATCAGGAAAAAAGGATGAAGAAGTTCAGACATATTCAGGCATATCATCCGACCCGTCCTCTTCATGTCTAAAAACACAAGACGTGAGAAAAGAATATAGATTGAAGCAAATGTGTTTATGCTGCTGCTATTCCACAGGAAATGTTTTAATTTCATAAAACGTATGTGGGAAAACAATTAATTTCTACTCACAGATGTCTTCCTGGCGCCACAGCCACTGACTCAAAAGCGAGATGTTGAGTGAGACAACAGCTGCAGCAGCAGGCGGAGCTGCTGGTTCTGATTCTCAATGACTGTGCTCAGCTTTTGGACCACATTTCCCTGACACTCTGAGGAAAGGTTTAAAAAACTGTTACTCAGTTTGGTCATAGGAGGAGGAGATTAGTGGTTCCATTTTAAATTAGAAACAGAGATATCTTTGAAACTTCATAATATTGAAGTAAATGAATGTAACACAAGTGGAAGTGAGGTTTCTAGACTCACCTCCTCCTGTCGGGCTATCAGCGGGTTTTGTAGCTGTGGGAACAAGAACATTAGACATAACATTACATTACATTTTAATTCAGATTATTGGATTTTCCACTTTTTAAGACCCCACTGACACCCTGCCATACCTCTGCCAGAACTGTACAATAATCTGAATCCAAATACACAAGTTATGGATGTTTATATTATATCACCTAATGCATCAGGATATGCAGGATGTGATACGATTGGACCGAGTGCTTCTGTAGCTGGCCACATGGTGATGCTGTCCACATCAAAATATAATAACTTGTTCCTTCACCCACATATTTACAGATATCACATAACAATATAGAGGTACCTACTGTATTATATATAATATCACATTTAACATGAAATAAATCTTTATTCAATCTTTAACCAATATCTTTACCTGGACGGAGAGCATCCTCCAGATTGAACCCAAAGCCATCTGAGAGTGAAGAATGCCGAAGATACACACATTTTAAAATGATCATTGGCACATCTTCAAATAAATGTCTTATGGCAAAACTTAATTATAAAAAATGTAATTGTCATTTTACTAAATATGCCGTTCAGCCATAACATTATGACCACCTGGGCACCCTGGTGGTCACCCCACAAGAGCTGCAGTTTTGGAAGATGCTCTGACCAGTCGTCTGCATCACAATTTGCCCCTTGTCCAGAGTCCTCCAAATTCTTACACTGCGCTTTTTCCACTTTAACTGAGACAAAATGTTTCACTTGCTGGCCTACTATACTCCCTGCCACTACAGGTGCCCACGATAACTAGATTAATCAGTGTTATTCTTCTCCCTGTCAGTGGTCATATGTTATGGCTAATCAGTGTATACCTCAATAATACCTACAGACAGGTGACACATTAATTAAAGAAATGGGCAGTGTACGGGCTTTGAGTATAAACATCTATGATGCCACCAGTCACCAGGGACCAGTTGCACTAAACAAGTTATGATTAAAATCAAAATAAAATCTATTGCAGAATTGGTTGCATCCTTAAGTCATCTCCTTAAGGTTTTCTTAAGAATGTTCACTCCCGAACGTATTTAAGGTTTTCTCCTTATCTTGGGTCTTATATTAATATCCCAACCATCTGCAACAAAAGCCCTTATGCAACCCAAAGTACAAAAAAACTTAAAGGCTGGCAGTAGGTAATTTTTTATAAAAAAAGCTTTTTTGCTGAAACTTTCTATATCCTGACAGTAGTACACGAGACAGATAATCTGTGAAAAAATCAGGTTCCTCTGGCGTTCTAGTGTCCTTAACAACATTTGTAATAACCATCAGGTCTTAAAAAAACAACCAGTCAGAGTCAAGAAGGATGGTTGATTGTTAAGTCTCATTCCCAGGGCATCAAATACAGATGCTTTGGGACACGGAGAATGAGACAAAACAATCAACAATCTTCAAGCCTCCAACCCAAAGCATCTTCCTATCTTTCTCGGCTGTACTGTATGCAATAAATCTTAAATTATAACTTTTATAGGACAGTAGGTTACAGTTTTAATTAGAAGGCTAGTTGTATCATTGATGCTAAGTATGAGAGATTCTTTTTGTCTATCCACCACTATCATTACAAAACACTGCATAAGGAGTTCCACACTCTTGAAAGAATCATTGCTGTTCTGGAGGCTTATACACTTTATGTAGATTTCTTTAGTATGATTTGTCACCTGTCTGTACAGCATGTTAAGAAATCAGCCAGTTCAGTTTTTGTGTACTCACTTCCTCCAGCAGGCTTGGGACTTTGGGGACCTATGGATCAACATAAGAAATATGTTCATTCAAACTACATTATATTGGCAGACTGTAATTAACCTGAAAGAATCCTGATCACAGCTAGTTCTGCTCCCCCCAAGTGGCCAAACATCCAATAATGTAGCCTTAATTGTAACCAACATTGACCTACATTTTTGCAATCAGCTGTATAAAATCCACATAAATCCGTATTATGACTTCTTAGAACCTGTTCTAGTTTAATACTCCAAATAGCATCAATGAATGAGTTTTACCTGGACCAAGAGCATCTGCCAGATTGAACCCAAGGCCATCTAAAAATGCAGAATATTAAAAAGTAGATGTATGGAATAGTGAGTGGAGTAATAATGATAATTATGATATATGACAAATGAATGAATTAGTATCAGGTTTGTAGACTCACTTCCTTGAGTGGCTTTCGTAGGTCCTGTAGTAGAGGCTTCTGTGATATAGAGATGCATAAATAAAAGTTGAATTGAAAAATTTGATTTGAATAAAGGGTTACATGGGATACATCCAAAGGTTTCTTATTACCTTCAACCAAACTTTATTAAGAGTTAGAACCACTACAGCAACTCATGAATTCAAGATATCACAAAGTCAACTCCAGCAAACACGTCCTCATCAAATCTTAAAGTTAATCATGATCCTGAACATTCTGCCAGATGTTCATGTCTCTACTGTAGCTGTACTCACCTTTGCCGCGAAAGAAATCAAACACGCCCAGTCCTGTTTGAAAAAAACATGGAAAACCATTACAAAACAACATGCAACTGGATACTGGACTTTCTGCAATTGGATACTGGACTTTCTAACCAACAGACCCCAATCTGTTCGGTTAGACAACCACACCTCCT